CGCGCCCCCGGCCCGGGCTCCGCTCCGCGTCCCGCTTCGCGCCCGGCCGCCGCTCCCTTGGGCTGGGCCGCGCGGCCATGAGGCTGCGGGGTTGCGGTCCCCGGGCCGCCCCCGCCTCCAGCGCAGGGGCCGGCGACGCTCGGCGGCTGGCGCCCCCGGGGCGGAACCCCTTCGTGCACGAGCTGCGCCTCAGCGCCCTGCGCAAGGCCCAGGTGGGTGCGCTCCGGCGCTCGGCGCTCGCGGCCCGGGCGGGATGCGCGGCTGGGGAGGGCGCCGGAGGGGGCCCGGCCGGCCCTGCGAGCAGCGGTCCCTTCCCTGCGGCCACCCCGCAGCCCGCCGCGGCCGGGTCCCCACACTTCTCCGCGGCCCGCCGCCCGCGCCGGATGCCCGCTCCTCGCCGCCTCTGTCCGGTCCCGCATCCTGACCCGGCCCGCAGCTCCTCTCCGCAGATCCCCGCACCGCGATCACGCACCCTGAGCCCGCCCCAAGTGTCCTTTCCTGTGACCCTCCCCCACCATACACCCCAAACTCGGCCCCACACCCTTCACCTGCGGCCCCGCACCTGGGTCTCGACCCCGCACCGGAGCCGGAGCTGCCCCGGCCCGCGCCCGTCCGAGGCGCACTCCGCCGGTCGCAGGCCGCGGGGACCAGCGGAGCCGGCTTCCCCTCGCGCGGCTGGCGGGCTCCGGGAGGCCGCCTCTGTCATTGATGAGCTCGCGTGTGGGGACTTGAGGGTTCGAGTCGGTGCCAGGGACAGCGGGGGGCGGGCGGGGGTCCCTTGGGGACAGGGAGGTTTCCACCTATTTGCGACTGGTTTTCTGGGCCGTGAACGTTTTTCCTGCTTTGAGGGATGGGCCCTTCGGGGTGAGTCTGTGACCAGATTCCACTCCATACGGGCGAGGTCCCCGCGGGAGGGAACAGCGCGCTGGTGCCGAGACTCCAGGTTGGGAGCGGCGAGTGGAGACCTGTGTCCGCTGCCCTGGGTGTGGGTGTGGGTGTGGGGTGCAGGGAGACGGCGCCGGCACTTGCGACGCTGCGGCTTCATGGGGCTTGTCGCCGGTGGAACACTCATCGCTGGCTCTGTTGGCTCAGCGGTGACGTCCCTGCTTCGTGTGTGCGGTGCTGTGAGATTCGGACAAGGGGCCTCACTCTGGACACCAAAACTGTGCACAGAAGCAACAGTTTGGGGACTCCTGCGGTCGACCAGTTCATGGGAGCGCATTTCTAGCTGCGAGAGAACTTCTTTTGGGGTCGAGGATTTGTAACTGTAAAGCTCTTGCTCAAAGCCCTTGATGGACTTGGTCATCGTCCGTGGGAAGGGAAGGGTGAGCAGATTGGGAACACCAGGGTGCCATCCCTCCTGGTGACGTTCAGGGCTGTCCCCAAACTGGCACCCGGTCCTTGTCCCCTGTCTCTGCTGTGTGGGGATGACTCAGTGGGAGCAGCACTGGCCCCTGCCCCCGGCTCTGCCTGGAGCCCCGTCTGCGGCATCCGTCTGCACGCAGACCAGCACTCGTCACCTGCTGGGCGCTGCGCCCATTGCCGGCGTGGGGGTCAGGGTGCTCCCTCCTCCAGGGGCACCCCGGGTTGCAGTCCTGACCCCTCTGTATGGTTCCTGAGGACTTTCCCTGCCCAGCCCCCACCCCCAGGCGGGTCCCCCGTCCCCACCCGGCTCCGGCTGCCTCAGCCTCACTCCCTGGTCTGGCACTTTCCCAGCCTCCCTGACCCTCCCTGAGGTCTTGGGTGAGACGCCAGGGTCCTTCCTCCCTTGAGGTCCCTGGAGGCCAGTGTTGGGCCTCTGGTTAGCACAGGCCCACAGGGCCCAGTCTGTTCTGCCCAAAAGCCTGAGCCCACTGCCCTGGCAGGAAGCAGGGCAGAGACTCACACGCCTGGGTGCAGATGTCGGTGCAGGCCAGAGATGCCCAGCCCCGGGCCTCTTTCCGCTCCAAGGGCTCGGGCGGGGACTGTTCCCAGATGCTCTCCGGCAGGGGTCGCAGGGCTGGGGGCTTGGGGGAGCGATTCTTCCTGAGGCCTCTCTCGGGAGGGCCTGCAGGGGAGATGCTGGCTTTAGTGGGGATGTGGAGGCTGCTGGAAAGGGAGGGATACTTTGCACCTTGTTGCCACACTCCACAGGCCCGTGGCAGTGGGAGTAATTAAGTATATTTGTGACAAAAACGTTACTGCTCAGATGTTTTCAGTGTGTGGCCAGGGATAGAGTTTGTAAATGCTCTCAGAGTTCCCCTTTGCAGAAATGTTTTGCTTTTCACCAAGCATTGCTTCGCAAAGCTTTTACTTTTATGTAATATATTATCAAAAGTTTCCCCAGAGTGAAGTAGCCTGTCTTTCAAAGAAAACTTGCTTCTCCAAAGAAAGAAAGAAAGAAAGAAAGAAATGGATCCTGTAGGGACTGAAACACTCACCTACCTAAATTCCAAGCTGAGATAAACGGTGAGCACCTGCATTACCTGTGAGCATTCACCGCCTGGGAGGGGCCGCCGTGTGTCTCGGGATTAACGCCCCGCGGGGTCACCTCCTCCGGCCAGTCCATCTGTCATTTAGCTACAGATTTAGTGAGGAGCTTAAGCATCTCTTTGGACAGAAAACAGCACGCTAAGATCTGAGAAGTGTCAGAATCGTCTTTGTGAACATACAATCTTTTACCCCCTGGCTAGAGCAAGGACACAGATTTAAGTGCAGAACTGTGCATAGCGAGACACTGGGTGTTGGTGATGTCAGCCAGAGTTCTTCATAGTCACAGGGGAATGTGTTGGTTTTGGAGTCATGAGGTGGTTTTCTGTCACCCAGGGTTTTGCGGTACTTCCCCTGGAACCCGCGGGTGTGAGCACACCCACCCCAGCCGTGACGCGTTTTCCCCGTTTCCGAAGTCCCCGCAGCTCAGAGTCAGGGTCAGTGGGATGGACTTCCTGGAAAGCGGAGCTGCTTCCAGTGCTCCTGGGAGCCGAGTGCTCGGGCACGTTGCTGGTTAGCATGCAGCGGGGGCGGCTGCTGAGCACCCTGCCCAGCCGGGCTAATCCGCAGAGAGGATTATGAGATCTGCTTCCAAGGGACAGAGTCTTCCCCTCCCTGCACGGTGGCCCTGCCTGGAATTCACCCAAAAGTGGGCCATCGTTTTCTCCAAGTTTTTATCCAAACGCCTGAGTTGTGATGAAAAAAAAGAAAGTCGAGAGCAGGACTCCACTCTCCCTGCCTCGCCCTGCGTCAGGCACAGTCATTCTGGAGCAGGGAGTCCCACGCCCTGCACGCTTCCCCGGCCCCTCTCGCGGGTGGCTGTGTTTGCAACGTGACCTGGGCGCTCAGTCTCCCAACCCCGGTGCACACTAAGGGATGCTGGTTCCTTGCGCTGCCGTCGGGTGTCTGGATGCTCCACCGTGAGACTTAACAAGGAGCAGCTCTTTATCGGCACCGTGCAGCGGGCGTGGGGGGATACGGGGTGGCCCCAAGGGATTGTGGGCAGCAAACCCCAGAGTGGGCCTGGAGCCATCGTGCCCCAGTGGAGGACCTGCAGGGGAGCACAGGTCCCTTGGGGAGATGGAGGAGGGTGGGGCTTCACAGGGTCTGGGCCCCTCTAGACACCTGGGAGGCCCTGGAGCAGGCACCATGCCCACGGCCCCAGCCACCTTCTGACATCCTGGTATTTGTTGCCCAGGAGAGGCCCGGGGTCATCTCCCCAGCATCCTTGCCCTGGTCACTGTTGGTGCAGCCCTGGGAGGCTGGAGGGAGGCAGGTGTGGCGTTGCCGTGGTGCAGATGAGCATGCGGGTGCTGAGGCCAGGTGCTGTCCCGTCCCTGGTGCCTTGGGAAGTGCAGGCTAGCCCGGGGTGCATGTCTGCCCGACCTCACCAGCAGCCCCGGACCTCAGGGGCCTGGTCTTCTCCTCTGAGTAATCCCGAGTGTTCCTCAGTCCTTTCTGATTTCTGCAAGGGTGCACACGTAAAACTTAGTCGTGGTTAACTCTGGAAAGTGGGAAGGGGGATTCAAGGTTGGAAAAGACTATATTTTTCATTTTTCATAGCCTCCTGTCCTGAAATTGTGAATTTTTAACATGAGTGTGTGTGTGTGTTTTGTTTTACAACTGATTGAGCAAAGCACAATCAGTTTTATGCAGAAACCTGTGATTATGGCCCAAAGCATGTCTTAAGCTAGCTTTGGGTTTTTGGAATTAAATTATTGAAAGTGCTCATCTCAATGTCCTCGCACTGTGTTCTATCATGAGAAAGAGTTTACCTTAAGTTGTCAATGCTGACCTTGTGCTGAATTTTATCACCACCTGCTTCCTTTTCATTTAAATATTTTCTGCCTAACATGGGTATTTTTTGCAATTTCATTATCTGTTTCTCATATAAAAATTCAGCGATTCTGTGCCCGAGACAGCGGCCACTCAGGAGCCCACCGCGGGAGCAGGTGCAGGGCTCACCCCGCCACACTCGCCGGGCATCCGGCCCGTGCCCACCGCCGCTGTCTCCACGCGGGCAGAGCACCCTCAGGCACTGGGAGGGTGCGCCCGGACGGTGGAGGTGCCACGCCCTTGCCCGGCTTGCGTCTGCGAAGGTGCCCTGGGCTTATGCTTGGGCGTATCTGTCTGGGAGAGTCCACGTGAGACTCCGGAGTCCTGTGTCTCACCAAGCCGAGTCCTGGCCCCGCCTGACTCACAGACCCTGGGAAGAGCTTCCGGCAGCTTCTCCTTCGTTTTCCTGTTTCCAGGCCCTTGACCCAGACACACCCCAGGACAAAAGTGTCCCCACGCTACTGTCCCCAGAGTGGCCAGAGACAGCGACCGCCCCCCACCCAGTTCTCGTGGGTCTTCTGTGGTGCGGAGGCCCCTCACCATCCCCAAGTCAGCGTTTCTGATGTTTCTGTCACTCCATAAGCCTATAATCTAGTTGTGAATTATTCATGTTTTGAAAATGAGCCCGGAGGGAAAAGCACAGTGCTAGGCTTGTTTGGAAGTAACGTTATTTTATAATGTGACCGGTGTTTGTCCTGCTAAAACCTAAGTTACTGCGCAACCCTTGGTGCTTCTTTTTACTGTAATGAAAATAATTAAGGCGTTTCTTAGCTTTTTCAGCCACGTTCCAGCTTCGGGAGCTCAGATGTTTTAAATGTAAGCGCTGTTCTTACACTCGCTGTGTCTGCTCCGACTTCCCTCACCTCAGCGGCCCTCTCTCCGTGGTATTTGGTGGCCCCAAGTTGCT